ACCTCAGAGATATTCTGGTGTCTCTAATATGACAGTTTTCTACCACAATAGTTAGTGGAATATTTGTGTAATATTTGCTCAATAAATCCCCAAAGGAATGAGATGGAGAGTGGTTATTTAGAGCAGGAGTTGACAACCTTTTTAGATAAAGGACCAGATAATAAACATTTTAGGGTTTGAGAGAGAGCCATATATATATATGTCACAAGTACTCAACAGGAGGCATGTTGATGATGTATGTTGTGGCTGTATTTCATTAAAACATTTTTATGGGCACTGACTTTCAATTTCATGCAATTTTCACATGACAAAATATTCTGCTTTTGATTTTTTTCAACCTTTTAAAATGTAAAAATCATGCTTAGCTCATGGGCCATAAGTGTAGGGGCAACAAGATAAATGGTTCTCAGGACTTTGTGAAACCGTGGTTTAGAGTCATGTAAATCTTAGTGATAATGAACTTGTAGAGAATCTCAGCCTGAAGTTCCATAGGATTGAGTACACAACATCGTTTCTAGTCAGTTGTCAGATTACAGTATGTTGTTAAAGGGTATGTTCATTTGTTTTGTTCCTTCGGGAAGCATTAAGTATCATATTTAAAGCCAAAGGCTTTGTTCCTTCTCTGACATGATTTTAATTGATGGAAGTTTAAATAGAAGGAGTTGGGTTTGCTAAAGATTCCACTGAGATATTAGCGGTCTGGGTCATTTTAGCTACAGTGTCAGAAAGAATCACAGTGCTTTCTGGGTGGTCTTACTTATGATTTGATAGAGTTTTTTTGTTTGTTCGTTTGTTTTGTGTGTGTGTGTGTGTGTGTGTGTGTGTGTTTAGAGAGAGTTAGGAAGGGAGAGAAACATCAATGTGAGAGATTAACATTGATAGGTTGCCTCCCAGGGATCAAACCCACAACCTAGGTATGTGCCCTGACCAGCCACCACCTCTTGATGTATGAGACAATGTGCCAACCAACTGAGCCACAGATACGGCTGACAAACAATTTTTTAAAATAACCTTTATTTTGGAAATTTGAAAGCAATGAAATACTTAAGGCACTGTGAAATACTTTTGTTTGAGTCCCACTGGCTAAATTCTGTGACTCTTTCCTGGGTTTCTATGTGTACTGATACATGAGGGAGCGTGTGTTCTCTGACATTCTAGAAGGTCAGAGGGATAAATAATAGCTTCTAACAGCATAGCATTCAGAGGGCAGGCTTCCAAGTTGGTTCACCGCAAATCTCTGCATTATTTACCAAGAAATGTAAATAGTGAATATCTAACCTAATTATGAAGCTATCTTTCATTTTTCTGTCATCAGCTGTATGTACAATTTCAAAATCGTTATTTACATGCAGACTGAACAGTGCAATAAAGCACGCAAAAAGGTAAATTTTTGGAATGACTTTAAACTAATTTGTACCTACCATCCCGCCAGCCTTAAATGGGGGGATCCCTCAATCTCCGCAGCACCATAGAGGATGTAGGTGCAGGGATTTCCTAGTAAGATGAATGAAATCTGTGCTGTACGTTAATTTACCTGGGGTCCATTCCCAAGAATGTCTCCTGGATGTCTGTGCTCCATCCCAAAATCAGTACTTTGCAACCAGCCTTGTTCTCTTCCCTAATTTAGGGAAGGTATGGGATAGAGTTAGGAAACCTGAAACAAGGTAAGTATACAGTAAACAGAAGGAATCTAAGAGGAAAACCAAACTGAAGCTCCACTCCTCATTATATTGAAAATAGATACTTAGTGGGCACCAACTCCGTGCTGGTAACTTCCCATAAACTCAGTTGTTAAAATAAACAAGAGATAAAGGGACAAAAAAACGTGTCCCTTATTTAGCTAATGCACAGCAGGAAAGAAAGCCTGGGAAGCAACTACTTCAAAGCAATTAAGTAGACCAAGCGGTGCTTGGTTTTAAATGGATTTTTTTTTATGTATTATGTAAGAGATAAGGTTGACTTTGTTGAACTTTTGATTCCATGACAACAGCAAACTCTGCCTGTATGCTCAGCACTTGATGTGTATTCTTCAAGCAGCATGGTCCTCTGCTCTCGACCCAGAATAACATGCAGCATATTGGTTGTGACTCTGGAAACTGGGGTGTCACTTCTGTTTTCCAGAAGGTGAAAATGTCACCGTTGCTTCTGAGCAATGCACTGCGACATCACCAGATGGAAAAGAGAAAACAACTCTCTTACTGTGGTTCCACTTAGTGAACTTCTGAACATTTATCGGAATGTGGTCAATTATTAGACAACCTATGCGATGATCAGAAAACACATGTTTCTGACTCAGCCTCCTGATTCTCTTCTCTTTCCATGTGATTCAGGAGGAAGGATGCTGGTTTCTTATCCTACAAAGATCACCTGCCGGTGAACCAGGTGGTGGTTGGAGACACCAACCGGCCAGGCTCAGAAGCAAAACTGAGTGTGGGCCCCCTGCGCTGCCAAGGAGACAGTAAGTTTGCCCAGCAGCTGGGGCTTTCACTTTCTTGGCAATTTTATATAGTGTTTCTCAAAAACTCAGAGCATGGCAGAAAACAGACTGCTCTTCTCTCACTCCTACAGAAACATCCGCCAATGCAAACAGTCCAGTGGAGAGCTAGATAGAACGTAACACATAGAAGAGGAGACAGCATAAAGTCTTCAGTCCAAGGAGCCTAGATCAGGGCATAAAATGTGGATATCCATCTTCCTTGTACATCCATATCTAACAACTTTGACTACCTAAGTTTATGGTGATATGTAAATAGCAATGATGCTAATAGCATAAAAGCAGCACTCAACAGCTGTGATTCCCCTGAGTGCTGCTGTTAATGCCATTAGCAGGACTATTGATAGCACCATAAACTGGGTTGATGGTGATATAAATAGTAGCATTATGGTTTCATGTATCACTGTAAACTTGGATTATGGTCATGTAAAGCTTGACATTATTGCTATCAAATTTCATCATCATCAAAGCTTGATAGTCCCTTGTAAGCCAAAGATGTTTTCTGTCACTATGTCTAGCTTTCCGGATTTGGCACTACAGAGAGGAAATGGGGGCTGCTGGCTTCGACTGTGGGAGGCTGGGAGTTAGAATGATGATCCCTCCTAATTAGGGCACCATTAGGATTTTATGTTGTCTTATACCCTTCAGTGTGCTTCACGTGCTGTCAGAGGAAAAGGGTGACATTTTGCTATGAGGATTCTGCAAGGAGCATCCTGCATGTCATTTCCCCCTCTTCTTGTCTGTCCCCTGGGAGTTCTATGTGTTTGTGATTGTGTGTGAGGAATCAGGAGACCTAGATCTGTTCCCTGAATAACTGACTTGCCAGGACACTTCATGCAAACTCCCCATTTGCTTGGCTGTGGCAATGAAAATACCACCTGCGTCCCAGCTCTTCCTGGGGAGGCCATAAAGATTTCAGTGCCTGCATCTGGATCCCTCCTAGCAAAGCATTCTGTGAGATGGAATATTATCACCACGTCCATAAATCAAGGGAGAATCAGACCTACTTGATGCAATAAACTATTGCGGCCACTCAGAGAGGTGTCCTAAGGAATGTAATGATTCATGTTAACTGTTTACTACTTAGTAAATCAAGGCTGTCAGCAATTAAACAAGGCAGTGTTCCTGATACAAAAGAGAGATGGCATTGGAACTGATTTTTCTCTTCTTACGTGGAGAAAATGAAAGAACTACATATAAAATGGGGACTGGTCAAAAGAGCTTTATCATGCATTTATTAAGCAACAATATTTCATTTGTCTAGTCAGGCTTAGTAGAACTGTGCAATAAGGAATTTAGTTTCAACTGTTTAAGAAAAAGTATTGACATAAAATAATAATAAATGTGCATTTTTAAACACAAATTTTGAGAGATGGAGTATAGTTTCACTCTCAGCCCTGGCCCATCTGGCTCATTTGGCTAGAGCATCATTCTGTGCACTGAAAGTTCGAGGTTCAATTCCCAGTCAGGGCACATGACTATAGGTTGTAGGTTTAATCTCTGGGCAGGGCGTTTGAGAGGCAAATGATTCATTATTTCTCACCTCTCTTCCCCCCCGCCCAATCTCTCCCACCCTCCCTCTTTCCATTCCTCTCTCTCTAAAATCAATAAAAAATAATAATAAATAAATAAAACAGGCAGGTTCTTACATATTATCTAATGAAAGTAATTTTCTTTATGTCACAATTATTTATATATAGGTAAAATATTTCACACTTATCAGTTCTAATTCTGAAGTTAGCTTTGAATTAGGAAAGGGTTTCCATTCAGTAATTGATTAACCCAGAATAGTTATAAAAAACCAACTTCTGCAAACTTTTGTTACCGTTCTTAAAGTGAAGGTGATAGCTACGTTAAATAGTATATGTGGGAGTATATTACCAGTTGAGTAGCTTGTTTCCTCTTAATCAATTAAATCAGTCCTCAGGAATAATTTATTATGTGTCTGCTGTCTTTCTAGTACTTTACTAGGTACTCTGGGGGATAAGAAAAAGAAGTTCATTATATCTATGAGTCTGTTTCTGTTTTGTTTGTTCATTTATAGTTCCTTCGATTCCACATATAAGTGGTAACTACGCAGTGTTTGTCTTTCTCCGACTCATTTATTTCACTTAGCATCATATCTTCTAGGTCCATCCATGCTGTCAGGGTAGGGCGGTTGGAGGACTGGGTGAAAAAGGTGACGGGATTGAGAAGTGCAGATTGGTAGTTACAAAATAGTCACAGTGTAGTACTTTACATGTATGGTACCAGGTGGGTACTGGAAATTCCAGGGGGAACATTTTGTAAAGTATATAATTGCCTAACTACTATGCCATACACCTAAAATGGGTACAAAATAATATTGGGTGTTAAAAGAAATTAATAAAAAATAAAATTTAAAAAATTTTCTGCTAAAAAGAAAAGAGAAAGAAGTTCAAACCACATTTTAAGAAATATACATGAAAAAATATTGGAAAACACAAAATGTTTTATCATTTAATATTAGATTTTGTAATGTAAAATTATTGCAATTGATACTCAAGAAAGAAGTGATAACCAGTATATTTCAGGTAGACTTTATATTTAGAAAGAGAGGACAGGTAAAGTATGATGGGCAGTACATTTGCATTTCGTTCCCAAGGCTTTTGTTCTTATAGGCATTTTGAGGACAGTTGATAAGACAAAGAGCTCCCTGATTCATCGACACTACACCGTTTCAGTATTCTCATCGTGCTCAGTTTCAGAGATTTGATCTGTGTTTTACCTGATACGCTGTGAAAATAAAAGCACAGCCAATATTTACTTGTAATTATTAAAATACTTTTGTGTCTGAGAGAGAGACGAGAGAGGGAGAGAGAGAGTGAGAGAGAGAGAGAGAGAGAGAGACTTTTCTGCAGACAGCTGAGAATGTTATACCTCGTACCTGAATTGCCAAGTAGCAGTCAGCAGTTTCAATACCCACCTTCACTTTACAGATGCTCTAACATGGATACACTAATGATGGGTGCTCCACATCATAGCATTTTCCAGTATTTACAAATGTATGATTTCCTTGGATAGAGAGCCATCCCACCCCTGAGGTGCATAAGGTAAATATTAGCCTCTCTGTTTACAAATGAACAAAGTATTTCTTTTAAAATGTCATATACACGACAAATTTCTACACACCCTTGCAGCCTCCAGAAGGCTCCAGGAGGAATGACTGCAGAGAGCATAAGCAGCTCTCTCCACACGGGGCAGGGTTGTCTCCCTGATTCCACTATCTTCCAGGAGTCCATTGCTGATCAGATTGGTTTAAAAAAATGTCACTTGGGTTTTATGCCAGCACCCCTCACACCCACTCGCGTCCATTTATCTATACAGCATGAATGTTGTGGGGAATAGAGTCCAGTTTTTATCAGTTAAAAAGTGGTATAGTGCATTTATCTGTTGTTTGTGGAAATTAGCTTACTGTCATTTACTGAAGTCTATGCAAAACTGCAGTTTAAAAACCTAAATCCATTATTGAAAAATGTCTCTCTGTTTGAGCTGTTGAGTGATGACAGCCCCTGAAGCTGTCTCTTGAATTAGGTCCCGGTACTATCCCCCAGTCTCAGAGAATGAAACAATTTTTGTGGGCTCCGACCAAGCGTTTCGGTGGTTTCGGTTCATTTCATCATGCCTGCTGACTTTCATTTTTACTTTGATTCATCTGAACTCGTAGGCCTATATAATCAAAATGCTAAAGAAAATCATTGAGTTCCACTCAAGTCTGCTGCATTTCCTACATAGTGCTGTGAAATGCCTTTTTCTTTTTCAAATACTTTCAAATGGAAACCTCCATTCTAAATGAAGCTAAAAGTGTGACTGGTGGTGGATGGTTAACTATGATTTTAAAAATGCAGTAAAATTACAAATCCCATCTTAAATCACGTGTCCACACCTAGAAAAAAACAAAAGAACTATTTAGAGGTTCAAAATCACTGATAGAGTAGAAACTATTTAAAATTTAAATATATAATCATTCTTGGAAGGGGTGACTCAACTTTTATGGAATTAGTTCACAAAAGACACATTTTGGGTTTTGGTTATTCAGACTATATATGGTGTGTATAATTAATTATAGAAGTAAAGTATTTGCTAGATAATTGCTCTATTCTTAGCCATATGAGGTAAAGATTTCCCATATCTCCTGTAGGGATACAGGGACTTGAAGCAATTAGTTAGGAGCAAGTTCACTATGAAAGCATGTGTTTGCCATACACCTGGGTAGAAATAAATCAGGAAAAATGTGTTACTCAAGGATTTCTGAGTCCCTGCCAGCAACCTGCCCTGGCTGTCCAGGCAGAAGGCAGAGCATGTGAGCCATGCTGGAGGTTTTGATGCCAATTCAGTCTCTCAGAGCTGCAGGGCTGACTCTGAGAAGCCCAGAGAGAAAGTGAGGCAGATAACACATTCAGTTCAGGAACCTTCAGCAGAGGCAAAGCCAGGCATAAAAAAGTAGAGATGGAATGGCGTTTTATCCAAATGAAAGTGGACACTGGTTCTTTGGGAATATAATCTTAGGTGCTAGATCAGGGGTCCTCAAACTTTTTAAACAGGGAGCCAGTTCACTGTCCCTCAGACTGTTGGAGGGCCGGACTATAGATTAAAAAAAACAACAACTATGAACAAGTTCCTATGCACACTGCACATATCTTATTTTGATGTAAAATAACAAAACGGGAACAAATACAATATTTGTATTTGCAATTGGCCCACGGGTCATAGTTTGAGGACCCCTGTGCGAGGGTAATATAAAGGCCATGTTGTCTTTACTGCAAGACTTTACAAACCAGGACCATAACAAGCAGTTCCCTTACCAAGAAAGACAGGCCATGATTGTATCCATACGGCATTTCTTCACAGAGAAGGCATTCCCAGAGGGCTGCAAATGACTATCCTCCTCCAGAGGAGGTGCCCAGCGGCACACAGAGGCCACACCGTCTTCCCTAGAGCATCTG